ATCGCGTAGCTCATCCGACCTCCTGGCGTCCGAGGATCTACCGACACCATGCCTCGTCGTCGACAAGCCAGGAACGCCACCGACACCGTTCGCCGTCCTCCAAAAGTCAGGTGAGTCCAAAGGTGTCGACGACTTGTTAAAATTGTTTGCATACCCGACCGTACCCGTCTTTTACACGGCTTCGGACTATACGATACTCTCGAGTAACATAAGAAGGATTATCCCCTCGCACTAACCCCCGAATCCCCGTTTCCAGCAATAATCATACACACTGGCAGGTGCCAGCGGTACTCTATCGGTTAGGATCGTTTCGGTGCTCGACGATCGAAGCCAAGCAGAGAGACGATCCTCTTTTTGCAGGTTGCATCTCGTCCGATAATTTTAGACGTTTCGCGAGCTGTTCGAAAGCGTTGTATACTTTTTCTCTCGCGTTCCTGTTATTGCTTCATGGTAAAAAAAAAAGAGAAACTGGGTTCCGATATAGAACGAGTGAATCATCTCCTGTAACGCGTTAACTGCCGTGTCACTCGAGTTCGAGCGACGTGTTTATTCCGTCAGGATATTAATATGTATTTTTATCAAACCGCGATACGTAACGTGGCGGTAATTATGGAAATTATAACGCGTTTCCATCTGCAACAAGTTAGCACTTGATCTATCGTGAACAAAATCTTCTTGAAATCATCCATGAGAAATAAATTCTTTGGTTACGAAAGTAAAAATACTTCCACGTCTCGTTCTTTAAGTATAGCTGCTACGTTTGATCCGAATTTTCTACAAATAGGAAATCGTTCAAACGTTTAGTCAGGTCTAAGGTAGAATCCGCTAGGAAAGCTTTACTAAAGAGTCCTCTTATGGATCGAGGACGAAACGCCCCAATATTTTTACCTTGCAACCAAGGAATTTACTTTTCGAGTATATTAACCAGAGGCGCGCGAGAAGCCGACGACTTTTTTTTGAGATCGGGTCCGGGGATCTCTGAAGCATCTTGCCACTTGACGATGTCGAGATTTCTCGGGAATGCACGATGGGCCAGAATTGAATTTTAGCTGTTCAAATTTTCGACTGTACGAGGAATGAAAATATGTTATATTAGAACAAAGGTAAATTTTCGGATAAAGTCTCGTTAATGGGGTGCTGTCATTGGTTAAAACTGTCCTCTACGAATACGCGAAGTGATCAAATTTCTGCTACCTTTCCTCCCTAAGGGCCGTGGCGGAACACTTGGAGAGTCTCTGTAAAGTTTGCTGCGCAAGTTTCATGAAATTGGTGAATGATATGTCCTCTAGGGACATTCAATAGCCTTGGCGATTTAACCCCATAAAATCAAATTCTTGCGATAGGGGGTTGAAGTTCTTTCTGAGCATGGAATCAAAAAAGTTAATCGATAGATGGTGAAAGGTCATAGTTTTGAATAAATGTACGTATTAATTTTTTGCGTCGAGAATCATCAACAGCGACGATGAAGATCAAGGTCAGAAGCAAGAAGAATACGACTCTGTAAATCAGATTTAGCAAGTCGATCAACGTGATGAACGAATTCGAGGATACTTTGCCTTGATAATACCGTCGTCCCGTTATCTGTCGAGCCGTGGATCGCGTCGCGATATAAATACGCGGTTGGACCGAGGAACGAAGCAGAGACGGATCGAGGAGCGAGGATAGAAAGAAGAGGAAAGAAGAAAAACGGTACGAAGAGAAAGAGCGGAGGATCGGTACGCGGGAAGATCAGTCTCTGGAGAAGACCTCGACGCAACTAGCGCGACGTGCCCCGGAGCAAATGCCGATGATTCTTCTTTCTTACCCAGCGTCGGCTATTTTCGACCGACGACTATTTTCGAGGGGGACTCGTCACGCGGTTTCGCCGCGGTTTTAGTGCGAGTTCGCGCCAGATGGCCAGCGCAACACCGTCCGGCATCGTCGTCGGGAAACGCGCCGGCAGGGAAGCCGGTCCGCCGGAAGCTGAGACGCGCGCGCGAACAGTGCACTCGAGTACCCAGGAGTCTGCGATCCACGTCAAAGATCGCGACCGTGTGACGTTCACCTCGCAGGGGTCACGAACGATTCGAAACCGATGGACTTGCCGCGTCCAGGATCCACGAATCGACTCTCTTCACGGATAAAGTGCGCAAGAATAGAATGTAAGGATCGGGAAGATCGGGGAAGAGAACGTTTTCGTTTCAAGTGTTCGCTCGAGGCAACTCTCGAGACGCCGTTGTTCCGCTGAAAATTATAGCGCGTGTTGCGTCCCAGCTTCGTGCATCTGGTGACCCAGAATCGATCAGCCTGGATTTAGAAATACACGTACTGGCCGAGCTTGGCGAGATGCGGCTGCGATAAATCGTATCCTAGAGCTCGAAATCGCTTCACGGAGTGGACGCAGGCACGGTCGCCCTGGATCCTGGAGGCTGGTGCGTGCGCGGCGGCGGCGGCTTGGCCGACGGTGGACCACCTTCGGCTACGTCGTCGTCGGCCGGGCAGGAACTGAACGCCTTGCTGATGCCAGGGAGCATCACCTGGTGGCCGCGGCACGGCTTGGAACCCTGGCTACAGCAGCGCAATGCGGCTGAACCGACCAGAGAGTTCGTCGCGAAGCTCGACGTGACGCCGGAGTCTAACGACACATCGGCCTCCGAGGTAGCATGAACGAAACAGAATGTCTTTATTAGCTCGGCGACGATGGCTCCGTGGCGCGTTAGGGGAAAGTCACCTAGTCTGACCACCCCCTTGTCCTTAGCCATAAGTTTGTAGTTGTCGCGCGATTGAAACTCGTAGATGGCGTTATTCAACTTTTATAATAGAATTTATCAAATGAGTTTAAATATTATAACTATATGCCACGTATCATTTTAGTCACGCGACGACTAAAAGCTTATTATTATTGTTACAATAACGGTGCCGTAAAAGCAAGTAATACGCCAAGTGACAGTGATCCGTGCCGCGTGAGGGGAAAGTCACCAAATCTAGTTACCCTCCCTTCTGCGTGGTACGTCTAGTTGTCGGCTGAAACGCTAGATGGCATACTACATCGATACGATGACGTATCCTGAAAACTTTCCAAAACACGTGATCTCGACGCGATTATCTCGATAATAATGATACATATGCCTGACACAAGAGTCCACGATACAAAATTTATAGTTAATATTTATACGAATTATCAGTTCAATTATTTGTTCAACACTTATCGTTGTATATTCCGGCGGATCAAACGCGTGCGATATATTCGCATACATGTCATTTACCATTTTTGATGTCGCGTGGATCGAGTACGTTTCATTCTGAGCTTCACGTTCTCGTCATTTGATAAATTATATTAAAAGAAATTTAGATATTTGAAAGCGTAAGATGCGCGCCACTGCGCGATGAGCGCAGTACCATCTAGCGTTTCAGTCGCGTGACCATTAGAAGATCCCCACAAACGGCAGTAATCAATGTCATACGATGATATACCACCAGAAATTCTTGCGAATCCTTCAACTGTATGCACACCGCGGCAATTATGCTTTCTGTGTACCGATAATTCCACGTTCAGCTCCAATCACGTTTATGTAATCCCAGTCTTGGATACACTCGCGATTAGTCTTCCATGTATCGTAATTGCAAGATAGCAGCAGTGGCCTGCAAGGTCGAGGTTTATCAATAGACACGGTTGTTCCAATAGCTGAAATTAATGAACGATCGTATATCAATCGAAGAAGGGATGACACCGTTGACAAAATACCGGGTTAGAATGTACCTAAGCCTGAACTTACCTTAACACGCAACTCGCCTACGCATGTACCTGTTTTTGTTGGCCCTTTGCCACACAGCAGCAATGGTGACGCGAAACCAGCGAGTAGCAAGCCACCAGCTAGCGAGCGCTAGTTAGCTAGGTGCTCGCCTTAACATTTAAACACGACAGAACCGACTCATGGCGACCCGCTCGCTCCGTCTTACGAACGCACGCGTTTCACGCTTCTTGGTTATATTTGGCAGGCTCGTACGCGACCACGATAAACACACGTGAGGAGCATGTCGGGAGAATCCGATGGACACGCTGATCTCATATCTCGCCATCTTTTTTCTTCGTTGGATTCTGTCTCGAACTTTAATTCTCTCAAAAACGATTTTAAGTACGATTTAAGTTAATAATCTTCAAATAGTTGTAAACGTACCAAAATTTTAATCGTTGACCGTTGTAATCAGTTTAGTCGCTTTCTTAAACGACTGTTTGTTCGATTCGACGTTCGGAATTGTTCCGAGATGAAAAATTTATTTTTTATTGCATTCAACAAATCAAACGTGTTACGTATGCTTGCCGTTGTTGATTTCTGTCTTAAAACTAGAATTTGATCGGTTAAATAAGTCCAACAAAGATTCTATTTTGATGATGTTATCATATGCATCATAATTCAACGAGTGCAAACGTCCAGTTTCCGTTCACAGATGTCGCGATGACCGAATTCCCGTGCATTCTACGTTTTACATCTATGCTTCCGTTAGCTTTCGAGTATCATTATTTAATTTTCCCCAGAGTTTACCACGTCGGTAAATTACAGATTCATCGTAAGATGCGATAATTCTTACGTGAAAATAACCAATTAGTCGATCCACTAATTACCAGAAAATCTTTAGACGTGACATTTCATATTCTTCTTTTCATTCGTCAAATGTTACGCGCAAGCAAAGGTCATCGGTGACTAAGCATTTATAATTGCTGCGCGATCGTACGTCGACAGTAAATTATATGAAAACAATTGCAAAAATGGAAGCGAGGAAAATAAGAGAATTTTATATAACAGACACTGTCTCATTGAGGCCAGACTAACATCTGATGATTAAACGCTAATATTAGTAAGTATAACGTTGCTCGTGTTAATGGAACAGAAAATCGATTATTGCACCAACAAAATTTACGTACGTACGATACATTTTTTCGTGTTTTCCTGTTTTTTATCGACACTTTTTTATCGAACAAAAAAATTGATATTAATACTTGTTGAATTCAGTTAATAACTGTGTGTTCGTTTCAACTACGTTTCTTATAATTAAATTATGAATAGGAAGTAACTTTTTCTAAAACTTGACAGATTATATAAAAAGAAGCGTGTTAAACAAAAGATTGTGTTATACCTACCCACGTCTGGTATATTATGCAAAAGAATAATACGTAGCTTACAAATTGGGGTCTTGTCCTAAGTTATTGATTTACTCTCCAGTAAGACGTCCCTGCTTAATTCGCTAGAAAGACATAACCAGCCATATAGAGTTACATAAATCAGTTTTTACGACACTTGTTTCATTCCACGCAAGTGTTACATACAAAACACTCAATTATCCTATCAACCAGTGAGTAATTTTTTTGTATCCACACATAAGGTTCGCTATAACTAATCCAATACTACCTACTGTATAGAGTAACCAAATGACAAGTAAAAGACATTGTTTATTTTTATTCTCTTATATTTATATTTACATAACAACATATATAACTAACGTCTACTTCTGTACATTAATTTTCATTTTTTGCTTTCATCTTTTTTTCACTAAATACTGCATTTTTCAATTTATACAATTTGAGTGCAATGAACACGTATTATTATTATTATCTTTAAATGTAAACAACAGTTAATACACATATAATTCGTATCGTTACCGCATTTTAATTGAGCACGTTTCTTACAAGACACGCACCGAATCCATTCTTGGTCAGATTTTGAAAAATGTTGGAAACACGTTAAACGAAGGACGAAATACATTCGATGAAACACGACACATTGACTAACCTTTCCCAATGCTGGTTCTAGCGTCGACGAAAGCGGAACGAAGCGTCGCGACACGGTTCTCGCGTCAAAGAGAAAAGATTGTTCCGTTATTTTTGGCGAAGCAATTGAGGATTGAACTATATAATTGACTATATGTATACAAAAAGAGAGAACAGAAAAAAGAGGATAGAAAAATTTGGCATATAACGATCAAGCGTGACATAAGTTCTTCAAATAGTTTCTATTTGTTTTGTTACTACCACGAAATCACTGATACTTGTCCATATCTTCTGGCATGTTTCTTCACCAAAATCGCACTGTTTTCAATTATGTCACGATATTCGTTATGTCATTTCGCATTTTCTCCTACGTTAGATTCGTTAATTCCTTTGTTCACGCGTTAACGATGGGGAAAATATTCGATCTTCATGCTTATCAGCGATGTAGCGACCATCTTGTTCGATGACCTGTCGTATGAATGACTTTTACGCGAGAATATTCTTGCTAACCTTGCAGGTCATAGACGTTTGGATGCAGACGGATGGATAGGAACGAATTTGTCACGCCAAGAAAATTTCGTATTTTCGTGGGCGAGCGACGCGCTAACTGCGTCGCTGTTTTCTCGACGCCGTGTATTTATACTTGATACATGAATTTGTGGAAAATCGTCGATATTGCCGAATCTCCGCGACCTTGACGACTTGGCTTTATTAATAGTAACGGAGTATTCGAAACCACTCGGTGGTATCGGACCATATTCTAAGCGAGCTTCCGTTTAAAATTTAGAATCGATGACGGTTCGTACGGATGTCATTCGAAGCGATCGAAAATATTTAGTTGGCGTTATTATTAAGGAATCGTCGCGTTTGTTAATTTTAGTTTTATGTGGACCTTGGTCTGAAAATGTACTTCGAAGCAGTTATGGTTTTCTATTTCCGCAAACAACAAGAAAGTTTTGCTACGATATCGCTGTGAGCGGTAGAACAGTACAAAGATAGTTCAAAAAGTTTCGTGCTGGACATTTGGTCTAGTTTAGTTGACTAACTCAGAATAATTCATATTTCATAACACTGGAGATTGCGGGAAATTCAAAGGTATCGAGTATACTGTCTTAAAAATCATCTATACGAGCTTAATATGATTTGTAGATACGAGGTTTTGAAGAATTTAGTTGATGGAGTTTAAGCTTGAGGACGTCTATAGAAACGAACTTTCGTGGCAGTCGACGTGTTAATGAGTGAAATTAACTTTCAAAACTTGGTCCCTCGGATTCTATCTCGGTAACTAGCGTGGTTAGAAGCAAGCGTTGCACGCAACTTTTTTATAGTTTTCGATGGGAAATGACGCGGTGCAGGCACGAGTAAAATGTATAATTGATAAAAAGGTGAATCAGTTTTACTATTTTTAGTCGCAAACGTTCGGAAGTACATTTATTTTTCAATGATGTTGTATGCACATTGGCAATTAATTTCAGGGTCGAATCATTTTGTTTTAAACGAAGAAAAATTCAAAGCAACATTGACCCGTGACATCTATCAACTTGCGATGCTCTCAATCTACGCACTGCGCGACATTGGACTCCCGTTCAAATCTAATCCATAATAAAATTATTTCTGTACGTATTCCGGAAGCAAGCTTTAGAACGGATTTTTACGATGCGTTTACATTATTAAGTTTTTTCTAGGCCCATTTAAAAAGAACAATGTTTCTTGACTTTGAAATAAAACGGCCCTAAAAAGGATTATTTATGAATACTTACTCACAGTTTTAGCGATTCATTGTATAATATCTACGCGTATACGTACTAGAAAGTTTAATAATTATTTTTCACCAGTGTCTATATTTATCTAGTAAAAACAAATCAATCTTCATTACGCCAGCACGCACGATGAAATACTTTTGAACGGTAGTGTCCAGTGTATCTCTAAAGAGGCTAAGAAGATAAAATGAATAATTGTAGCGATTTCTTTCGGGCGACACCAGATAGTTAATCTCGTACGATTAATCTACGCGACAGTGGCAAGTGTTATTTTCGACCGTCTTAAATTTCTTCTTTACTTACATGTACACTCGTTTTTTTTAGAAAACGTGAGAATTTGCTTACGGGATCGCCTATTTTTAGATAGATTAAAAGGTTTCATAAATATTGGTACGATAAAAAAACCGCAGAGGCATTCCGTTTTTAAACGCACAAAATTCGAATCGCGCGAAGGTCGACGGCGATTGGACCGACGTATCCCCGTTTCGCGCCACAATGTGCAGCATTGGTGGCCCACGTGTATTAGATTCGGGGTACGGTTTCGATATCGGCCCGTTCTAATTATGCGACGCGTCTCCGACAATGTTAGATCGGAATTTCATCGCGGGACGCGGACCGCCAAACTTGCTCTCGTTCGAACCGCCTGGCTCACCGACGATTTCGTAATTTCTATATGTGTCAAGGTGCGGAGAGATACGGCTCGTGAAAACGCACCAGGCATCTTCCTCTTAACGCGTGCACAGCGCGAACTGTTCGCGAAAACGCTTCCCGGATGGCGGGTTCCGTGCACTAGGAAGCGCAACGTTGCCAAGCCCCGATCCCTTAGAGCGTGCCGAACTTCATCGTTCCAACGAGGGACAAGTTTACGTAATCGGTCCTCTCCTCCTCTCTTTTTTCTCCTCCGTTGTCGTTTCTTTTTCTATCTATCCGTCTATCCGTTCGTCTCTCTCCGTTGCTCTTTATTCGCGTGGCTCTTCTCCGTCTCCGTCGGTTCGCATCCGATCGCGAAGTGTTCATTTCGAGAGAGGACCGAGAATCGTCGGAGCTCACCACCGCTCCTCGGTATTTTTAGTGCGACGAGAGTATTTGGCGGGGCGCACCGATTTGCCTCTTCGTGAACGGTCGACGTCGGCCGTCGTCTCCGTGACCGCCGTCGTGGTCGTGTAGTTTAGTGCCTTCGGCGGCATCGTCCCTATTGCGTGCGATCGACATGTACGTGCCTCCGCGGTGATGCACCTGCGAACACGGTTGTTCCTCGCGACCGGTGGACACGGTGGATAAAAATCGGTGCGACGGGATTCCCCCGATCGTCGATTCCGTTTGAAACGACACGGATGCGTCACGATCGGACCGCGAGGCAAGGTCTGGCGGGACGACCTTGAGCGGATAACTTGCTCCAAATCAATTCCAGGAAGCGGCTGACTCACCAGCGAAAACAAACGGGATCAAAATCAAGCGCTTTCGATTCCGTGGAATTATTCCTCGACCTTCGAAACCATCTCTGGATCCTCCGAATCTCAATACTTCGGTTCGCCAGTTGCCAGTCTTTCGATCCTTCGGAACGTAGTGCGCGACTTCTGATTATCGTAAGCGTTCGATCCTCGTTCTTCCCTTAAAAGTCACCGAAAGTTGGAGCGATCTTAACGCTCCTGCCAGTTGGAAGATTTCGCGTCCGTCTCGATGTTCATATTCGCGCCACGCGACAACATGTCGACGTCTCGTCAGGGCTCGACGAGCCGGCGAAGTCGTTACGCGCGGTCCTCGACGACCACCAGCGTGACGCAGATGCTCACCGACTCCTGCTCGAGCCTCCTGCAGCGACTTACCACCCGTGTACGCGGAACGTCAGCGTTGAGCGACAACAACGTGGCCAACAAGACGGCCGCCGCGAGGCGTTCACCGAACGCCAGTCAGCTGAACAGCACCAGGACCCGGCTGGAGGACAAGTACTCCACGATCCTAGACAAGTACTCGAGAAAGAAGCGTCATGATCGCGACTCCATGGATCGCAGACGCACCCACGAACGGGACCACAGCTACTATCGTCGTGAAGACAGTCCGTTCGTGCGGGACGACAGAACCTTGGAACCGTCCGTGACACGCAGCATCGTGAAGAGTCCCACCAACGTGGTGCTGTCCGAGAAAGCTTACCCTTACGTGAAATCTGGCACGGTGAAGGAGTTCAAGCGCGAGAAGACCCCAGGTTACCATCGATCGGACAAACAGACTTTGCTCAATTCGGAATCCTATCGACGATACGGTAGGCACAAGTCGGGTCACGCGGAGACTCGCACCTTGAAAGTGAGGCCTTATAGAAACGGGAAGAGCGAGCAACTGGAGTCAAAGTCGACGGCGTTGAGGCTGGCCCGACCCACGAAGATGGAGACGGTCAAGCAGACCCCCGTCGACCCGGACAAGACGCCCACGGGCAGCGACAACGCCGTCGACGCTGCTCTCCAGGCCGCGGACGATGACGCCAACGATCCAACGATCACCGAGAGAGCGGCGAAACGCAAAGAGATACAGAGTCTGATCTTGAAGTACGCCGCGATGGAGGAGACGTTCAGCCAGCTGGCCGCCAGCGGCCAGGGTAGAACGCGACCAAGCACCACGGACATTATCGCCAGCAAGTATAGGAAAAGCTACCAACGAAACGGGCGAAAAGACGCGGCGCAGACCTCGGTCGCGAGTGTCGTTAGCGACGCGGACACGGTCCAGGACGCGATTGTAAGTTGTCGAACCGCGCGTTGACTAACCGCGGCCGCCGATTCGTGGCAGTGTTGTTTCGTTGAGCAGTCTTCCGTTGTTGCTGTTGTGTTTCCCCGCCTTCTACTCACGCGTGGCTGTTTTGCGTTTACGCGTTAACCTTAACCTACTCTCCCAGGCCCGGCCACGTGCGCCTCCACGCTTGTGGTTTTGCTGTCACGACGAAAGAGGTTCACTAACGACACGTTTGGAGGGAGAATGAAAGATCAATCGTGGAAGAAATTGCAAGTCGTTTTAACGAGACTTGGTAAAGAGTTGTTCCACTCGTGGTACCTGGTTACGTTGTTAACGCGTTCACTGTCCGGTCTTTTAGCGGGGTATCCAAAAGCGTGGCGCTATGACCCGTATACGGGTCATGGACAGTGAACGTGTTTATCCGGAACTAATCTTTCTTTCTCCCTACAATACCTATGAAGTCCGTTTTGCAGAGGCCGCGGACCCAACGATTTAGCATACGATGCGTTTACACAAAGTGCAACGATAGTTTCGTATTCTTGACTCAACTGGTGTATTTGTGATACCAGGGATAGAAAATCATTTGAATCTACTGTACGACAACCCCAAGTATACTACAATTTTCGGTCAAACGGTCGTATTACAGTTGTATTTATCGTACGATAAATTGTTACGTCTGTGGCCCCTCTTGCGTATCTCCGACTAATGTTAAAGTACCCTTGAAAACCTCAACATCCTTGTCGTGAAAGTTCGTCTTGGTCACAGGAGATGTTTCACGTTGGAGCTATCTTATCGAGAATCCAGTGCTCATTGTTGTAATCTTAATAAGTAGTACGTTGGTTTTATTGACATATTGTGGGATCAACTGTAAAACGACAGTTATTACTATTATTATTATTAAATGTCTTTATTATGCATACGTGAAAGTATATATATATATTATACATACATGGAAGTATATAAAGATTAAATGTAATCAGAATGCGTACGTGGACAAAACTTATCCTGACACCACGGAGGTACAAAGACTTCCGGTGGGTAGAATGACATCGATGATTGGCATTCTACCAATTAGTAGTCGTAACAAGTCAGGATAAATTTTGTGCCGGTCGTGTACGTAATACCTCGATCGATTTGTTCTATTTCTTTTTTACATTGAATTTATTAGATTTCTCATGTTCGAACGATTCATTACTTCGGCGAGACACGATAAGAACGTCGTGTACGGTAAAAGATGAAACTAACCGAAAGAGTACCGTCGTCCTACCCTAACCCTTTTCTACCAAAAACAATTACATGAAAAGTCTGCGCGATAAACGATTGAAAATATCAAGTCGGTTCGCGTTTTGTCCTTCCATCGATAAGGTAGACTCGAAAAGTGTCGATCGATCGATCGGCACTGCCACGGTGTGACGATGCGTCACGAGGATCGATCGTCAGATCGATCATCGTGGAGCCGTCCACCAGGCGCAATCACGTAAGTACTCGAAGTTTCTGTAAACGATTGATAATTAACAAAAAGTAAAGACCTCTCCGAGCGTGTTAGAAACAAATATAACGAGCACTCGAAAGAAGCTGTCCGACGTTTATTTCCTTGTTTGCATTTTCCAACGATGAACTTTGGTATTCTGTCGCGCGACGGTATTACATGAAACGATTTCCGTTTTTAGTTGATTTCTGGAAGAAAATGAAATTTACAATGGTACATTGGCTCCATTCGCGATTTACGAACGTATAACATAATCTTACTGGTCTTTTGCCTGCCTAAGTGTACGCTAGAGATATCGATTATTGATCTTCGGTATTCATCGCGCGGATAAATGCATCGGGACGGCTCCTTCGAGGCGATTACGGAACCTAACTTTTAACACGAGTATAGGAAAAAAAACGAAATCTGAACGATTAAAAAAAAAAAAAGTAAATACGAGGTAAAAAAAAAGAGTAAAAGTTAAAATAAAAAAAGTTCGCTTTGTGCCGATGGTAAATTCGTAACCGCAACTTTCTGACTTGGCAAACCATTTTGCCCTCTCCCCTTTCTCTCTGATTGTTGGGTTACCATCTCCGTTGTAATGGAATGGAATGGAAATGGATATGGCACACGGATTGGTCACTATGGTCGACTGGGCGCTCGGATCGGGTGGTTCGATGATGACCGATGATGATGTATGCCCCTTCTTCCTCCCCACCGACACACTCGTACGTTCGTCCGTGCTTACACACGTCCTCTACCGCGTGTTACACGGGTCTCCGCCCTCGCGGTGGTGGTGGTGGTGGTGGTGGATGACGGTGTGTGGCAATCGGTTGATGCGACGACCCCGTTGGATGGCGGACCCCGACCAACTCTCTACCAATGGATCACAACCCGACGACCCTTCTCTGGTGGCTACCAACGACACGATGAATCGACAACGACCGGTTGGGGAACCGTTCTCTGGTCGGCGATCATCACGAAACCGAAACACGTGGGACGACCGATCGTCGACGCAATGAACCGGACACCAAACGGTGCTCTCCACACTGATTGGGTCCTCTGTTGGCACGCGCCGCTGATACCGATTCCGCCGGCCCATACGTAGAGCCCACGACCGCTCTCCGTCGAGGACGACGAAGAGGGCCACCTTGTTTACCAATCCGGCGACATCCTGGAAAATAGATGTTCGTGAATACGTGAATACACTCATTGTAGTAGATTTAAGCAAGCCTCAGATCGATCGATCGGTCGATCGATCGGACGGTTACCTACGGTATCTGCCCATAGTCTCTCTTTGTTTCTTGTTCTCCTTCCCACGGATCATTTATTCTCTCTGTCTCGCTAGATTTAGTTCTCCTTCGTCCTTCTTTTTGCTCAGGTCTTTCAGTCTGCACGCACTTGTTTTTTTGTTTCTTTGCATTTACCGTTACGATCGAGTATCCATCAGGTTTCTAGGGCGTCGACGACACGTGACAGCTTTTTAGACTGTTCACACCGAACACAGAGCATCGATCCCTATCCAACCGCGTAATTTCAGTTCGGTAATCTGGACGAGAACCAGTGCTTTCTATGTTCAGTTGTTTGTACATTTTTTTTTTTTTACGATACACCTTAAGTTCAGCGGTATTCGATAGGCGCGAATCTCTGTCCTCGTACTTTCTCATTAGCCTCGGACCTACTGTTTTAGTTGGGCTCCAGTTGCTGCGCACACGTATCCCAGAGGGTCGTATATGCAAGCATTAAACGTGTACAACGGTAACTTAATTTTGGTGATCGATAAAGACTTCCCTTTGATCAGTTAGTGACGTTGGTAATTCACTTTCTATCTACCTCGAAACCGGTCATGTCCAACTATTTCTCTCCGCTAAAGTTCTTTTCGTTTTTACTCGATTCCGTAGACTTTTTGTCGTGAAAAACAACGTGCTCTGCGTCTCACACAAACTAAACATTATTGTCTAGACCACGCACGCACACACACGGTGTTCACATCGTTATTACCCAGTATTTTTCTCGTAATTGAATGCTGCAAAATAGATGAAAGAGGGAAAAGTTTTTTTTTTTTATATGGAATACGGACGTAAAAAGATGCAATTAATTTTGAAATTCAAAGGCGACCTCCTTTCTAATGGAAAGTTGAAGAGTGTACTTCATGGAAGTAATTATCGAGGCATAACAATGTTTCGAGATCATATAGGGACGCGATGTAAGTTGTAAACATGACTTTCGTTACAAGATTTACAAACGAATTTGTGCAATCGAGTTGGAAATTGATTTTCAAACATTTTACTTTGAAATTTAAGGCAAACTGCTTCCCCCAATAGCTTTCCATTAAAAACAAAACTAAAGTCACGTATATTTACTCTTCAAGTTGATCGAGAATTCCCCTAAAATTATATTCCATGTAAAAAGAAAGATAACGATACTTGCCCTCTTATTATCTTTTCGCGCGTTCTTTGTTCACAAAGAAAAAATGGCGACCAATAGTAGCACAAACTCCAGACAGTCCGGACATTTGTCGCGAAACGTGTACAAGGTAAAATATCGTCAGTTTCTCGGAAACGTACTCGGCGCCTGTTCGAACTCCAACAGTGGATTCTAAGCTCAAAACAGTCGTTCGTTCCAGTAACAGAGAGAACACGATAGGTTAGACACACGACACTCAAGGGCATTAATTCGATTACGGTCAGGGAAGTTGACATAATTTATTCTTCGTACTTCATGGTATTCGGTGCCACACGTGATCGTCGAAGGTGAAGCTGGACCAGAGAGACAGAGAGGCGATGGAAGGAGGAGAGATAAAGAGAAACTACGCTTGCGCTATCTCCTCGATGCGTCTTCTCCGAGATGACGTGCTCCTCTCTCTTTAAATAGGCCGCGCGAGGACATTCGACATTCGCTCTCATTATCCCGATGATTTTTCCGCACAACATAGCTAGACGCCAGGCTCGACGATGTTCTTGCGCTCGAGTCCATCCTTGTTTTCGTCTCGTTCCGCGAAAGAACCAAAATGGCTGACCAAAACCGATCGGGGCGCCATCGGGACTGATAGTCAATGTCGTGTTCCTCGGCCGCCGTTTTACGGTTAGGTGTACCTCAGCCTTTAGGAGAGCAGCAGTTCCGATCGATAACAAGCTCTATGATACCGTTTTTTTTCACTTTATCATACATCCGTTCACGACGTTATGGCGTACAAGAACGATCGGCCGAACGTCCATACCCCGGAAACACGTCTGCATTGCTCCTCCGTCAAAAGTTTTTTCGTTCTTGGGTAACAATGCACCGACGTACGGAGAGAGTACGACGTCAACGACGAGGGAAAACATCGTTTCACCCCGTCGGTATATTGCCTGCGAGGAGCAACGCTGACGACCTTCCGTGGACGCGAGGTCTTCGATCTAACCGGGCACTTATCTCCCTTTTTACATTGCAGATAAAGTACTGGCCACCCTAGGAGCGGGTACTTTTGGAAAAGTTGTCAAGGTTAAGGACTTGCAAATGTAAGTGGCAGCTCACGTAACTACTACGTAGGTAAACTCTACAATCTCGGGTCTGCGTTTTCTTTCTCCTGTGCCTTATTCTCCCTTCTTTTTTTTTTCTTTCTTTTTTTCCATGACCGACGCACGCGTCGAGGAAAATCCTAAAGGTGCGTGGCGCGGCTCGAGTCATAGCACGGTGTCAGAAATAGCCGTGGCCGCACTGTCACAAAATGACGCGCGAGTAGTCGCAATAATAGGATGGCCTTGCACTTTGTTTTACGGACCAGGCATCCTCGACGACCGACGCGAGCGAGAGACTCGAAATCTCGCGAAATTCGCGTCGGGTTAGGCGTTGTTAAGACGGGCCGGGTTCTCCACGCACGCGCTCTCCAAAATAATGGCGTCGTTCAAGTACTCCGATCGAGTGCGAAGGTGTGTCGTACGACCCCCTGTTATTTGTGAAAAGTTATCTAAAAGTTAAGATACATACCCGTGTTAAAATCCGTATACTGTTTATTACATGGACACACGGATAACAATGTTAAGAAAACAAATAAAGTCATGAAATTAAGAGAGTAATGGCTATAGGAGCATGAGTATTGAGAATATGGTAGAAAACCTGAAACGAAAAGATAAGAAAAATAAAAATTGAAACGTTGTACAGATATATTTGGTGGGTTCTCCAAGATGGCTAACCCTAGCTGACTACTTCTACATTAATTCATGTCTTATGAAAACAATGAATGGTAACAGTTTTATATAAACGAGCTACGATCATAATCATATAAAACGAATTATAAATAGGAAGTTTACAAAGAAATAAAATATAAAATTCCTGTAATAAATTATAAAACTTTTAGATAATTTTTTAAGCGAAACAGAATTAATAAGTTTCCTTCAATGATAAAATTAGGGAAATGTTTTTCACATATCCCCAGTATGTACTCCCGCTGAGTCTTTTCTGAAGCGGGGAATGTAATGGCTGCAAACAGAAGCTGTTCACAATTGAAGAACGTTAACTAGCTTTTGTTCGTCAAGAATGGATGTGCTCAAAAAACATCCTTTATAGTCCAGATGGCACTATTCAAATGCTACGAATATTCACAAAATATTCGAATATTTAATTACAGAAATATTGAACATCCGAGCCAGCCATATTTTTCACTAAATCATGATACTTTATCGATGCTGTTTCCAACACGCATGCACGAGAAAACCCGGCCCAGTTGGCAACATGGACCCCCAGGGACCCGAGAATTTTCCCCTTCGTTTATGACCGATCAGACGCAATTCTGAGTCTTGATGCGCTTCCCACGATGTGGTATATCGGACGACGATTCGGCGGGCGCAAAGAGAGCAGATTGTCTAATAAAAGTACAATGACGTTTGCAGGGATCACGTGATGGCTCTGAAAATTATCAAGAACGTAGAGAAGTATAGGGAAGCCGCGAAGCTCGAAATAAACGCCTTAGAGAAAATTGCGACCAAGGATCCGGAAGGCCAACAGTTAGTATACGCAAGGCTGATTTTATTCTCGACGGCTGGTGAATTTTCTGTTGTTCTTTATCGTTAAAACGTTGGTTTCCCTTGTATTGCAGCTTGTGCGTAAAGATGCTTGACTGGTTCAATTATCACGGGCACATGTGCATCGCCTTCGAAATGCTTGGACTTAGCGTATTCGATTTCCTGGTGCGTATACTTCACACGCGAGATGGGATGACGTCGGTCAGTAACGTTACCGTTTCGTGTTCGCAGAGGGACAACCATTATCAGCCCTATCCGTTGGAGCACGTTAGACACATCGGATATCAGCTTTGCTACGCCGTAAAATTTCTGCACGATAACAAACTCACGCACACCGATTTGAAACCGGAGAATATATTGTTCGTAGACTCTGATTACGAGAAAGTATATAATAACAAAAAGGTGAGGAATCTGTTTATTGGTTGTACACAGGGATGGGCACACTCGAATAACTTTATAACCGAAGTACGTTTAAAATGCTGAATACATATCAATCGTATGTTTAAAACAAGCGACAGTATTCTTGGAATACTTTTTGAAATTCGTTTTGCCCGTTCCTGAGCTGAACGTAGAGCGATATATATTTAACGGGTTCGAGTAACACAAACGGTGGGGCATCATGGTCTAAGTGTTCAAAAGAAGTTTCTTCTTTTTAAGCGGAAGGAAATCAAGCGTATAAAACGAACAGACATAAGGCTGATCGATTTCGGCAGTGCCACGTTCGATCACGAACACCATAGCACGATCGTTAGCACAAGACATTATAGAGCGCCTGAAGTAATTTTAGGTAAGTGAAACCGTGTGGAGTCGCGTCTGTTCGTTGCAACACAGCGCACACTGACACGGCGCTTTTATTTTTGTAGAATTAGGTTGGTCCCAGCCTTGCGACGTTTGGTCGATTGGCTGCATCCTTTTCGAACTGTACCTGGGTATTACTTTATTCCAAACACACGACAACCGCGAGCACTTAGCGATGATGGAGCGTATACTTGGCACGATTCCACATCGTATGGCTCGCAAAACTAAGACCAAGTACTTCTATCACGGTAAATTGGACTGGGATGAGAAGAGCTCAGCCGGCAGATTCGTTCGAGACAATTGTAAACCTTTACACGTGAGTGATCCTTTTGATATTTCATGATTATAATTAATATTATTGAGATGGGTCAAGGTTCGAATCTTTTTACATACAATTGTTGAAAACGCAGCTTTTAGGAGGCAGTCTAGTACTTTGGCCCGAAAACTGATTTCTCTCTCTCTCTATATATATATATTTTTTTATAAGAAGAAATAACTATTAAAATGAAAATTGAGAGGCACATAGTTCTCTTATTATAGATTAAAGAAATATTTGTTATGTTTTACGAGTTCAGTTTCGAAGTTTTCTTAAGCTTTACGCATTACTAATTGCAACGTAGGAAAGAGTAATAAGTAACGCGTTCGTTCTTTCGTGTTCAACAGCGTTGTATGCTCACGGACGACGAAGAACACCGACAGTTGTTTGATCTCATTCAGAAAATGTTAGAATACGAACCAGCCCAGAGGATAGTACTAAAGGACGCACTTGTACATCCTTTCTTTGACGCGTTACCAGTAAATCAAAGATTACCAGACCTTCGAGCAGCTGGTGACTCTCAACAATCTCATGAGCGATCACACTCTCTCTCTCGATGAAGCTAGGAAAGGGACCGACTTCCGTGCTGGACAGACACTCCACTGTCGACGACGACACTACTGCTCTACGTCACTATTCTTGCATACTTGAGTCTCGCAAGACTGTGTCTTGTCTACGAAAACAAGATTCGATGACGTCAGTCGAGGCTTATGAAATAATGTTGAGCTAATAAAAGAAGATGCTCAAAATTTTTGTGGGATAGATAATATGATCAAATTCGATGTTAATAATGTCACCTAAAATATCAAATAATCGTATTGTTTACCACAACGTGAAATAAAAGCAGTAGTGCAATTGGTGCTGTGGAACTCGGACTCAATCGAGTATGTTATACGACGAGATCGTTAAGATCTTCGTGTCAAGGTATATCATCGGCATATTCTTATCTCCGTTTACGCACGTCAAAATTTGGTAGATAGCTAAATTATTGACGAGATCCCTTGTTACTGGCGCGATATGGCCAGTGTGTCTGCTCAGTGTAGCGTAACAGAGTCCCAATTAATGTATACATTTTCTAAATGCTCTTCTGTACATTTTATTCTTTAATTTTATTACGGATGTTACTATGCAACAAAGTTTGGAGGAAAGAATGGTCGCAGTTTATACTCTTGTTTGTTATAGATTGATGACCACAACATGTCTAGTAGTAAGAATCAGATTAGTGATAAGACAGTAAATATATGAGTACGTGTTGAGATAATTAAGATAACTAAAGGGAGAAAGTGAGAGCGAGAAAGAGAGGGAGTGTGTGAGAAAAACTAGGAACGCCAATTCATCGTCGTAAATATACACTTGTTAATGTTCTCAGAAACCATAAGAGGATACGTGATTATTTTAGGAAACGCAAATGTACTTTGTCGACATTTGGATGGAGCTGAAGTGAATTAGTTTTTCGTTCGGCGTATACCTAAATTTTGTTGTATTGTCTCGTGTTGTTGCAGACAATCATGTGTGTTTTCCGTTTCACCAGCCCTTACAAAATCAGTAGAAGTGCGAGGCGACTTTATTTTGTTTCCAAATATACGACGGATTAACTGTATGCTGCGTGTATCGCGTATCTTTCTAAAAGTCGTATGCTTACGTACATAATTACGTACGGATCGTGCATCTGCTTTTATTTTGTTTAATAGGGAATGAAATCTTCAAATTACGAAGCTCTACCACTCATGTACGTCTTGTTTGCTTTTTAACTCTTATAAATACGACACGAAGGAAATTTAAACGATCGTGCTGCTCGTACAAAGAAGAAAATATGCCTGAGCACTGAGAAAATGCTGTTTCGAGTAGCAATAAAACACATTTCTTTCAAATAATCGTTGCAAATTTATTATTACAAGCAGTAAATTAAACTTCATCCCAATAATTTAAAGTGAACGGTGATTCATACAATCTTGAAATACATTTTTCCTCTGAAAAGAAGATGCTTTCTACACATAAACACACACACATACATGCTCATACACATCTGCACAGAACATCTTATGCCTGCTCAACAGGCAGCATAAAGGCAAAAAAAAAAAACATCATTAAATACATGTTTGACACATGTGAGTACCCAACATACTTAAATTTTATCGAAGTTTTTCGTATGTAATGGTAATAGTAAAATTTATACTTCAGGCCAGCAATATACTGGAGGTATTGATGGTTTGTAACTTGTATCGTATAGTTGCGCCTTGATGAACTCCTTGTAGTCTTTGGGCTCCGGGTGAACCGATGCAAGCTCTACGCAAAAAGAAATTTTAGTTGGTAAAATAATAATCAACGTGTGTCAATCGGGTAATAAAGATCACATTTTCTTACTATTTTCATACGCGTAATTCATAACCTCACAGGCTATCGTCAACGAACACTTTTGAATATCCTGCAACGGCGGATACAAGTTTCCATGGTCCAAGTCTTCTTGCGAGACCATTTCGGCTAATGTTTTAGCAGAAACGAGGAATGTTTCTTCAGGAATAGTACGCATACCAACGCATATAACACCTAAAGCGACTCCCGGGAAAATGTAACTGTTATTTCCTTGGCCAGGATAGTAAGTTTTACCGTTGTACGTCACTGGTGGGAAGGGCGATCCACTGGCGAATATACATTTTCCCTACGAACAATAAATCGAGCAAGGGAATTTTTAGATATCCGGAGTGTAAGTCATAAATATGATAGTAATGATATCCAAATATTATAGTCTCAATCCTACTTTAAACCTTAAAATTAATTTCCTGAAATAATACAACTATTTGCAAGACCTTGGTCTTTGATAATATAAAAAATGTTATTTGTACCTTTGTAGCAATATATGCTTCCTCAGCTGTGCACTCTGCTTTGCTGGTTGGATTGCTAAGAGCAAAGATTACAGGCCTGTCGTTATTGTTTCCCATTTCTTCCAATATTTCAGTCGTGAATGCACCGCCAACAGCAGCAGCACCAATGAGGACAGTAGGTTTAGCCGTCTTCACCACTTCCAATAAAGTATCTATTGGTTGGTCATTACGAGCGAACTTCATCTTATGCTCTGTCAGTCCACCCGACGGGCGATTTTTCACTATCAACCCTCTTGAGTCAACCATCCAGATCTTGCTCTTTGCTTCTTCTAAACTGACACCTTCTTTTTGCATCGCCATTGCGCATAACCATGCAATACCTAACGAAGCCTAGAAAATGTAGCTTGTGTTAATAATACTCTGATTGTATTTTTTAAATTGTTTGGACACTTCATTCAAAGAATTACTTACCTCCCCAGCGCCCTGGAAAACAATTCTATTTTCAGAGAGTTTCGTATTTGTGACGCGAAGTGATGCCAATAATCCAGCCACGGCAACAGCAGCGGTTCCTTGGATATCATCGTTAAAGGTACAGTAATGATCGCGATATCTGTTCAACAATCTGAACGCATTAGCGTTCCCGAAGTCCTCGAACTGAATTAAAGTATTCTGTCCGTATCGTTTAACAACAGCAGTCATAAATTCGTCCAAAAATTCATCGTACTCTTCACCGATGACGCGTTTATGTCTGTGACCAATGTACAGAGGATCGTCTAACAAAATCTGAAGCAAAAAATAATATTTAATTTTCGAGGCATGTTAAGAATATTTTAAACTGTTCATACAAGGAAGTATTACCAATAGTTTGGAATATATTTATCATACCTGAGTATTTGTGCCAACGTCCAAAGTAATAGGCAAGCATTGGTTAGGCTTAATGCTGGCCAAAGCAGTGTACAAAGATAATTTTCCAACGGGTATTCCCATTCCATAGGCGCCCAAATCACCCAGTCCAAGTATCCTTTCGCCATCCGTGACCACGATAGCTCGTACATCGTGTTCGGGCCAGTTTTTCAAAATGTCGTATACATGGCCTTTGTCGTATATACTTATAAACATACCGCGTGGTCGACGATATATCAGGCCAAACTTCTGACAAGCTAGACCTACTGTGGGTGTATACACCAGAGGCATCATTTTACCCACGTCACCCGCCAGTAAGCGGTAAAAAAGCTTTTCATTTCTATCCTGTAACATGAAATATTTATAATTTATATTTACCAACACTAATTTATTTTATATTTTTCTAGGTGCAGCGTTCCCACCGTAAGTGAGAAAAAGGACCTTGCGTTAAATGTGAAAACCACGCAATGTAAAAAGATATTTCTAGTATAAATGTATCGAATAAAAATATTTAATAATTTGTATATAATACGTACAAGTAGGCCTATAAGGTAGATGTATTTTGAGAGATCATCAGGGTAACGATCTAAATTCAAGCGGCAGAGTTCTAATTGCTCATCTTGCGTTTTCACAACTGCTGGTAAAAGTCCATGTATACCCAGAGTTTGTCTTTCCTGAATGGTAAATGCCATCCCCTAAAATAAAGAGAACAGACCTTTCAATACGTTTGATTATAATTAATACATTTTTTCAGTGTCGGTGGAGTCATAAATGCAACATGAAGAATATGAGGCATTCTTTACTTATGTCTAAATTTATTTTAAAAAAGTACTTTATATAGAGCACATATTTATTTTTTATATGTGTTCTATGTAGGGTGAAATATGTAAAAATATATTTGTGATAGTAAGCTAAATAATCAAGTTTATATTAGTTACTTATTTGTACAAGTTTATAGCTATTTTTTTTTTAATTTCTTAATGCTTGGGGGATGGTGATCAGACATCATGACGACGTTCATACGAATTAACGAATGCCCCCAGAGAATAAGTTTCCATGATCGACATGCAATTTATTCAAGGACCAATTTACTTATGAGCAAGATGCTTGGGGCACTTAAAACAATGTAGGGACCTTGATTAAAAAAGAAGAGAACCTTTCGAATGCCTATCAATGTCCTTAATAAATCAGTTTGCTTGATCTAGTCACCAGAAAGTCCGTCTACAAATTATAATTAGTATAAAGGAATAAATTAACGAATGAATTAAAAATAGTACATGTATCTAATTGAATATACATTTCATATATTTTTTAACTTTCTGTAATACTTTAATATGTTGGAGATAAGGCCACTTGATCAATCTCAAATTTCTTTTATCTTATGTTTGTTACATTCGGCGCGATAATATATCAGATTAAGATTTTATTAAACGTTCAACAAACAAATGTATACGTAGGTATATGGTTCTTATTATTTTGCAGTGTTATGTTGTGTGAATTTAACAGAAGTACTTCTATTGATCTGCTAAATGATATTCAGAATATATAGATATAGTCGCCATTTTATCGCTTTCGTAATAAAGACAGTATGTATTTTTGTTCTGCTTACGTCGTTATACAGAGATTATGTAATTTCCATTTAATAAAACTCAAAGTTTATTAGTTAAAATAGATAGAATTTTAACGAAAATAGATTGAATTATTTATTCAATTTAAATTGAAATACATAGTCTGATTATGTAGCTATGACGCCGATGTATAAAAAACATTACTCGTTTATAATTTATATATTGGTCAGATAAGATTTGTAAAACCTTGATTTGAAAGTTAAAATTTCTTATTAACGTAATAGAAAAGTATTGACGTAAACATGACACGAATAAATGAAAAGAATTAATTTTTATGAAATTACGATGAAGTTATTGATTTGCTAAGGCAGAGCCGTTTTAACATTACAATCAGAATATATCTATTATACGTTAGAATTGAACTTCTCAACAAATAATTTAACATCTATTTAAAAAAAAAAATTCTGTGAATCTGGAAAACTTTAATTCAATCATCATTAGATATCCTGATAGTACGGTTGATGAAGGTGTACATTTTTGAGAATTTTTTCAAAATAAAATACAGTATTATGTTTTAAAATAAAAAACATATATTTTTGAGTATAAAACATACACATACAATGAAATAAAATAACATTAATATCTTTCATTTGAATCTGTATTTTTTTTAGGTCCAATGCAGATGGAACTTTTTGCTGCAGAATTGTACATTTTTCTTCGTTGGTCTTAAGTGAAAAACAGTGCAGCCTTAATCGAAAGAACCACAACAATCCACTGATACTATTTTCATAAAGGTAACATGAAAATTACCGATTGCGAAATTTTCTTTACTGCATAAGTATTTTTTCTCTCATTGCAGCCCTTTCTAATACCAAATTTCGACGTACTGTGTGCCATCACATCTACTCTTTCCTTGTCAGCTGAGATTAGGTTTCGTTAAGAGACATCGAGGGATGGGTATGGATCATTTAAATTTAAACAGTCGAAATCCTACAGTTCAGTCCAGACTATCCATCGAAGAACGCAATACGAAAGTAATTAGTTTAAAATGATTTCCAGTTGAAGATCTACAATGAATGCATTGTCACTGCCAACTGTGGCCATTCTTCATTTGCTGAATAAACAAGTCGTTAACGTGTATCAATCCAGACACGATAACTCCCTCTGCTCGAACAAAACAGACGATTCATATGCCATAGAATACAATGAAACAATTATTCGAGCAGCGTCAATTATTCTGTGAACTGTATCGATTCACGGTCAACGAACCGTACTACGATGCAATGAAAAGAATTTAACCATTATGCATTCAAAGTGCAACAGAATGTGCATTTATTAATTAAATTGTCCAATAACATATTTTCAAATTGTCCGCATCGTTTCCTATTGCGATGGAAATTTTCCTCCTTTCGTGGAATGAATCGCTCATGATCGATTATTTTAGAAATTTTGAAAATAAAAATTGGGAAAGTGATAACAGTTGATTAGATTAAATATAAGTAGATTATATCTTTTGAGTACTATGGACGTCCTATAAAAACATACAAAATTGTAAGGCTTTTTCTGTACTACTGCAGCATGCTTCCAGCTAGATTTGAACCGCCATTATACATATCTGACATAGCTTCAAATTCATTTACGATTTCTGTTCTAGTCGACTGCTTACGTTTCTGATTCTGCAAAGTTAACGTGAAAGTAACTATAATTCGAACTACGTGAATGTATTATAGTTACGTCATTCCGCAAGAAGACTTTGCGCCTGGTATTTTTGCAACATGTAAATCTCTTTAGCGTCGATTTACATGCGGTCAGTACTTTCGTCTGACCTCCGAGACATTAATATGATTTAAGCACAGCGATATTTAGAGAGCAATAAAAGTATTTAAAGCGTTTAGCATAGTCAAAATTCACAGAGAGATTGGAAATTAGGTAGCTTGAATGCAACTGAACTGTCCAAACGTTTCAGTAAATTAAGTTTAATAATAATTTTCTATAATAAAGCGTCCATTTCAGTAGCCGCGCTTTTTACAAACGACTCCATTGGGCAACGTGTTCCTTTATAACTGAATTTAACTACGTGGAAGGGTCAAAGCACTCAGCGAAAGTAGTATTTTTCCACCGGGGTCGTTGACAATGCTTCAAACGCTGCAGCTAGACCAATCGTCGTCGACAGCAATTGACTTTTACAAATTCTAATAGGGGCAAGGGTAGACAAGTTTTTCGGGCGCCTAACGGTTTTCTAACTCGAAATTTGGCGGCCATGATTCAACGAAGACAAAGTCAATGGAATTTTACCGTTATTGATATTTCTTCGCGCAATAAGCCTTATCAAAAATTGCTAAAAATTAAACATTTCGATTTCTCATTTTGTAGACGGATGAATCTTATTGGAATAAATATGAATAACACCACGATGTTAATAATATTTCTTTGCACGAGAATAATTTAAATTCCCCATTTTATAGGCTGTTGAATATTGTCGGGACAAATATTAATTATACTTGCCTCTTATTAATATTTATTTGCGTAATAACCTTCAAAGAAATTTAGAAATTATAAATTAAAATTATTCACGTTACGAGCAGTTGAATACTGTCGGAATAAATATTAATAACACATGGTTATTATTATATTTTTTTGCTACTACTAGCATAGAAAGTGGTTTTCGTCGATCGCGTAAGTTGGTTAATGAAAGACTATGCATTATCATATCACGTAATAACAAATATCATTGAGTTGGTTTATACGAAATATTTCTTTACACACATCGTGCCGGCTACGAACAAATAAAGTTTCATAGTAAATACAATGTGTCCTGATATTGATAATAACTGATCTGAAATCATCCACAATAATAATTTAATAAAGATTACTAAGAAATAAATTATAAATGAATTTTACAACGTGCAAAAGGTGGTTCAGAAATATGCTTTAATTAAATCAGTTTTATTTATTTCAAGCAAAAGATTGGATCCCTAAAATGGTTAAAATCTCAGTACAGTTGTACCCCTATACTTGCACGCGAGCCTCATTTGTTGCATTGTGCTAACACGTGGAAGGGATGGACAGTTAGCAACAAGTGAAATTATCAATGGAAGTCTTCTGTATGAGACAAAAGTGGTTCGTTGATAAGAGACGCGATTACGCGAAAGGTTAAGTACAAGTCACAGATAGTGGGGCTATATTTTATACGTAAAACGCCTCCTTAATGGATTAGTTTTTTAACTTTTACACCCTTTTGTCTTGCAATTATCGAAGTTTTACTTTGACAGTACACAGAGATCAATGAGAAATTGTCCTTCGAAGAGGTCCAAAAAATGCTCCTAATATTCGAGAAGAGAGATTAACCGTTAATTACCAATGTCATTCGACTAATGTCGCGACGTGAAGCAGATAACCGCAATACTTCTGCGGTTAAAGAACAAGCAGACACATCAGAAGACGGTTCAAAGGCAAACGTGATCTGTTTATGATGTAGTCGCATAGCCTCCGTCCTTGAAACTTATCGCCCGAATTGAATTACCATGCACGCGCTACTGTCAGGTCGATCTAGTCTCGAGACTTTTCCAAACCCTCGACGGCAGAGTTGGGCGAAGTGTAATCAGAAAAATAATCAATGATTATGCTAGAAACATCTTAAACCTTTTTTCCTGCACGGTCATTATTCATCAAAACAAAATACCAAAGCACTTCCGTCGATACTTTTTAACCCCTTGCCGTATGATTTAATTTCAGATCCTGTGCGCCATGGTCAGCCACTGAATTTATCAAGCGTCGGAACGAACGATCCGCCATTTTAAATTTGCTACAGGACAACGAACCGTGAGAAGAAAAATTCAAAAGTTCATTCCGTTAAAAAAATATTAAATATCGAGCAGCGATACGCAACGAAGTTGGTTTTACTAAACACCGGTGAGCGGTGCTCGCGGTGCAACGAGTGAAATAAAAAAGAAGAGTGGGTTTGAAAATGTAGCAAGAATACCCTTCCGTCCAAAGCGAGCAGAGGCTCGGGGATACGTTGCGTTCTGTGGAAATCCGGTACAAGGTCCCACCAGTCCGTGTCCATCATTCCTTTCAACTCCTGATCCTGTGCCTCATGTCAAACAATCGTCCTTGGAAACGGTTGTCAGGGTTCTCGACTTCCAGCAACGGAACCCTTCGCTCGCCACGATCAATACGTAAGCCCTAGGAGTTCTTGAGCGCAAAGTAAGCCGCGGCCTACTGCGAGAGAACCGTGAGTGCATTGCACCGTAACGTTACTTTGCGTATCGCTCGTGATCTGACTGAGTCCTTGGGAACGCGAAAGTAAGAGAGAGTGAGAGAGAAGAATGCTTTGGTTTATTTTCGTCGTCTCTTTCACGAACCTTGGGTTCGTGAATGCGATAGCGTAGGTTTGTCGCGGCGTCGTAAGATATTGTGTAACAGGAAGTGAAGCTGGAGAACAACATTGTTACGCCGTTGCATTCTTCCGACAAAAGGATAAGATTTATACAGGTTGTATGTATCTAGTAGCCGAGGGAAGCTATAACTATAGCCCAAACAATGATGATCCGGGGACAGTTGCAAAGTGCAAGTGCACTATTTTTATTTTAAATAGAATTTGCTGATTTTTTTATAGAATTTCCTGAGTCATTCTGTGCATAAATGGTACAATGTAAGATCGTAGATAACTCAATACTTAGGACATAAATATTGATATTAATTGTTTAATATCAATTTTATCTCTTATTTATTTTTTTAGTTCTTCCTTGGGAGTTTGCAGACCTCAATTTGAGAAGCCCTGTTCGACTGGAGCTTCTGTTATTCCAGATAGCTCTCGAGAGGAAAACTTTTCATCATATAGTATACACGGTACGTCACCCAATTAAGTGTTTCTATCTTCTGCTAGGTTAAAGATAGAAATAAATTGTTTGAAAAAACAGTTGAATGATGTAACAAGGTCTATCTTACTGTAATTTCACTTTTTTCATAAGTATAATAACGGACTATCAAAAGACTTCTTTTTATCCCTGATATGATTAATAAAGTAGTAATATAACATTTTAAAAATAGCGGAATGTTCCAACACCTTGAATAAGCATAAACGTATGCGTTGGAGCGAGTGAGTCATGAAAAATCCACTTAAACATCGATGTTGCATAAAATTGTCTATACCGTCCGTCATTAACGATGCTCGTGTATGGTAAAAATTTTTTAGAAACGATGAATAAACGCTGTGCAATATTGTGCGACACAAAATACATTTTTACACGTTTTCAACAGAATATAAGATCTTCCAAGTTGGGATCTGTCAATGTACTTGTTAAGAACAATGGAATGTTTGATTCATAGAAACCACAAAGGAATGTTAGAAATTATCCAAAGGACATTCGTTAATTCCAAAATTCCGGAAAAATTCCTAGCTATCTTTACAGATGACAAAAATAAGTGGATGAATCAAAAAAAAATATCATTCAGTTTGCCGTGACTTTTAGTAAAAGTGACGATTCAATAGCAGGTAATGCGTTTCAATTGATAGTCAGGCGATCGATTTTGCATAGACCTTTCAACAGTGAGAGAGACATGACATAACGATCGTCGAGTGCATATTTAAGACGAATCAATTGTCTACGTGTTTCATCATCGAGGTGTCATGCCACCACTTTTTATTCCGTAAATTTGTGTTCCGTGAAAGTGAATTTCTCGGAAACGCGGTAACTACGTGACCGATTGAACGCAACGCAATGAATATCCTGTTTTAAAATATTTCTCCTACGTTTTCACCGCATATCAATGAACATGTTTTATTAACATATTCGCGATTTCAAGTAATTTTAAATATTACTTTCCCATCACGTTTCTTTATCCCATATTAAATTCATCCAAAAATATTTTAGCAAAGCATCTGTTTTAATCTATCAATTCTCCAAATCGTCGTTTACATCTGATTCGTAAAATGCAAACAATTTATTTGCCAAGTATTTTTATCGATTTCAATAGAAGCGTCCGGCTCGATATTTATGAACGGACCATGGAAACAGTGACAGTAAACACAATAATGAGTAATGAATAAGTACCAGCTATAACATTTCTCGTGTATATCGTTCGAACATTGTTCATACACTAATATACGGTTAACGATTTTCAAAAACGCGAAATTTACCGAGCACGAAGCACGACAATATTAAACCACGAACTGTCAGAACAATTCCCGATGTCACGAACAATGGTAATTGTACTTCATATTGAAACACGTAACGTGGGCGTACCTTATTTAACTGTGGATTCTTTAGATGGTCGAGACCACGTAACATGCCGGCACACAAAGCATCTCCATTTCCCCGGCTACCCAGCTGATCTCTCTCGAGACTCGACATGCTCGAAGGTTTGTCGTCGCAGACTGACTGACTACTGCTTCGGATTTGGATCCTGAAACGAACAGCAAACTTTTTAAGGCTGATGAGACGTAACGTCGGTACGGTAGGACGCACTAATGTCGAGCAAAGGTGAGGTTAGGCGTGGGGTTAAGTTTCGGTAACGTATCAATTATATACGACGCACTATCGCTCTGTCACATTTTTTTATTTTCTACGAGATTGGAACCGCGGTTTCATTTACATTTAAAGAGTAATCTTTGCAGCCAATGAGAAATAATTCTTTGATAAAACAATTTAATGGAGAGACGAATACTCGATCGATTCGAGGCACTGATGACTAGAGCTACGAAGTTATTACGATTCCTTAAAATACTTAGAGTGAACGAGTTCTAATATTTGTAAAGCTCTAAACAGTGTTACTGTTATTGGGAATTTTATAAAATAACAAGTAGGTGGCTGAAACATTAATATTTGCATTTTTTGTACTATGTCAAGTATAAAAGAAAGCTAACATATCAGTCTACGTGTTAATACTCACTAGTTAAAAACTTACAGCCTATACGTAGATGAAAATGTTAACTTTCGTTGGAATTTGCACGAAAGCGATAGCGACGAAAGCGGAGGGTACATAGCGAACTTATTACGTTACTAAGCATATAACAGCGCAGTCGCATGTGTTCGCCCATTAAGTGGGGATCATTCTATTTTATAGTTTGACCATGAATAATGTCGTACGTAGTGAGTAAAATAATTTTTTACAGAATTGCTTTTATTAATCTATATTCAGTAATTACAATAGGTCGTTTAAAAAGACATGAACGATATTTTATATTCTACTGAATTTAAAGTAATGCAATAAAGAATTCATTACTGATGTTAACAATACCATTCAGATAATTACGTTCTTTTTAAATGGAAGTAACGACAGGAATATTTATAAAGGATCAGAATCTTAATGAATTCGTTCGACTTATTTTTATAGCATAATAGTTTGCTACTATTGCGTGATGGTTTTGTTTACTATGGGTCATGAATGCGCGATCTTCCACAATTATTCCAGAGTTATAAAAAGTAGACTTCTCAACTTATAATTTCATTGTTTTGTACATAAGATATTATTATTGTCGATTTTCTGAAGATGACGCAAAACTCAAAGGTTGAATCGTTATAAGGAATTTGGTCAAAATCGATTATCGTTCTTTATTTATTATATTGACGAACTTAATGTTCTTCGTAAATATTATGGTTTTAATGATTGAATAGAAAACTGACCTATTTTTTATTTATTGAAGAAATATTGGTAGCACAATATTAAGAGGCAATTATAATTTGAAAACACAATTACTTTACCTGTCATGGCATGGATCGTGCTGCCATGTGCTAGACTTAAGATCATTAGCAACATAATGTAAACGGTTCGACCGATGGAAAAAGCTAGTAAAATGACACTCTAGCCGTTTTAGAAAACGCTTCGAAGTCATATTCGCGATTTCCGTAAACGACCACACTTATTCGATGACATCTCTCGATAAACTGTAGTATCAATAACTATGATGGGGGTTAAGCTACTCTCGGATGACTATGTCACGTCATGGCGATAAGTATAGCCAGCATAGTAAATAATCAGCGCACATGTACACGTGACATCAGGCGTACAAAGTTAAAATAACTAAAATCACGCTGCATATAATATTTAGATAAATTTCTATACAGGGTGTTCGGCCATCCCCGGGGAAAAATTTTTTGGCAAAAATAATTTTTCCAGAACGATTTGAAAGTTTTTAATTTTCTCGAAAAAGTTGTCCACCTTCCTGAATTTTTTTCTCGAAAATGGTTAGGATTTCAAGGGTATATCTATTCACCAAAAATGATTGTAATTCACCCCTGCAATCAAAAATAATTTTTTTAGAACAATTTGAAATTTTTTAATTTTGTCAAAAAATTTCAGCACCTACTCGAATTTTTTTCTCGGAAGTGCGTAGGATTTCGGGGGTGTGTCTATTCACCAAAAATGATTGTAATTGACCTCCGCAACCGAAAATAATTTTCCCAGAAGGATTCGAAATTTTTTAATGTAATTTTTTAATAATTTTTTAACGAAGCCTCAATGAACAAATTGATATTGTTGATCTTCGTCTTATTTTGGCCTCCAAAATCTCCCGTTAAAATTTTTCCCAGGGCTGTATATTCGAATAAGCCTTTACTGCCAATATGAAATGGGAAATATTCTGTTTTAAAATTAAGAATTGTATTATACAATTCTTAATTTTACTGCTATCAAAAATATGTTGGCTTTCGTTTCACTTGTCAAATATAAAAAGCTTTGAAGTATATTGCAAGTAAATAAACAATTCAGGATGTAAACAATCATAATTAGATAAATGTTTACATAGCGGTATGTAATTATAATATACATTTGTATATTCAGTCTACGATGCAAAATTGAAAGTTGTCAAGCAATAACAATCTGCAGACACAAAAATATCTCATGATACTTGATATGAGTCATCTGTCTAATACATTATATTACCCAACAAAGATATAACACTGATACAAGCAAATCGTTACTTGATAAACGTCTAGAAAATTATTGATATTGTTTGATCAACGTTAAAGAACCTTTGTTTTTTCAAAAGTTATACAATTGCTCGCGGGGCGGGCTGAAAAGCATACGACGCCTTAAGAATCACTGAATAATGACACTTCTTCCTAAGCTTACTTTTATTTTTTCGAGTTGAATTGAAATTTTTGTAATAATTTAGTTATTTTAATTTCAAAAATGTAAATAGATCAGCATTTGCCTATTTTCACTTCCTTGGTTTATTACTAAAATTGGCCCCGATTGTTCGTACGTTTTAATGTACGGGAATCAAACGAGTCGTCTGATAAACGTAAAAATGGCACAAATCAAACTAAAAGCATGCGTGATCGGCGATTATGTTGCTTTTTAATTTGTTCTGTGAGTTATGTTTCGATAAATCATTGATAGAAATTAATATTTTCAAGACAGTATCATGTTATCTTTCACTTAATTATTCAGACATCGAACGCAGTTAATAACTTTTAATTGCGTAAAAAAACAGGAATTAAATGTGTCGGGTTATCAATCGTTTTGACGATTTTTTTTTTAACCTCTGACATCTAATTTTCTTCTTCGAAACAAATGTTTACAAATATTGATTTGAAAATAAAAAACATAATCCAAGTTTAGTAGTCTGACAGTTTGGTAACGTACAGTCATTTAGTATCTATTAGAGTAATATTCTTCATAAATCATTTCGTCAAAGCAGACCTTGACTGTGAACCTGACGGGCCCGATAACAACGTGTCAATTGGGCCCCACAACTCCTAAAACCCGCTTTGGATTTCTTTTTTATTTTTAAAGGACGTAGATATAAAAAAAGAACAAAACCTTCATGAAGATATTTACTCGAAAAATGAATTCAGTTGCGAATAAAATGAACTACGTCGCGTAGATTGCATGGAACAACGTATTATACATTAGCTTATCAATTTTGTTCGTGACTATCAGATTACATTCTACGGCCATTAAAGTACTGCGACGTCATGTAAAAAAATGATAGATTCAGCAATATTATTCAGCAAACTGCCAGTATTTTCGATCATTTTTAGAACGATGACGGTAGACCGTAGATCACTATTACGCTTGAAACGAAGTTTTTTTTTCGATTTAAACAAAACGAGGTTTTGAAATGCGCAATACTTTTTAGTATAAAGCCAATACAATTTAAAAATTTCGCGACTTACGCTTTGTGGGCTCGTTGTGCGTTCCGAGTATCCTTCGATTGCGGGCTACCCATTGAAAACTATGATTATACTAAATCTATAATTCAACGATACGATTCAATTAAAATAACTGTTCATAATTTCGTCGTAGGTTGAAGTTCGATCTGGCGATTAAGTACACCGTGTTATTTCTGCGCGAATAATAAAAACAAGAACGTTTTCTATCGGAACTGCTTTCGTTCAGTGAAATCGATCCTTCCGATCTCGACCAGATCGCAAACGTAACTGACGTGCGTACGATAAAGAACGTGAATGCCTGCTGTCCATTTGTTTGCAACCTCGACGTAGTAGTAGAAATCGGCCTTAAGATCGAAGTTTTTGGGACAGAAAGGCGAATGCAGTCTCAAGGAAAACTAACAGAATTGCGCAATACTTCAGTATGCGCTATAAAAACCTGACGTTCCGAATCAATACTATATATTATTGCAAGTCGTCATACTGTACATTCCTTTCAGTTCAAAATTGAACACTTAACTGAAAAAATCGTTTTCCTAGAAGCATACGTTACGTGGCAGTGTTTCAATTTAAAGGGTCATTTTCACTCGCTTTCTTTTTACTAGAAGTGTCCAGTCATTCCTTTTCACATGAATATTACGCCGGTAGAAACGTTTGCTCGAACCAATAAACACATAACGTGCGAGATTATCATGAGAAAGATTAAGCAATCGATTAATTAAATTCGTTACTCGAATTCGAATACGTAAAACTGAATGTATAACAGTAATTAACAGCGAAGAAAGAATTGTTCCATATATTTGAAAAGTGATAAATTAAAAAAATTATCAGCTCGACGTACAAAGAGATTCAAGTGGTTCGTAAATGTTGTATAACTGTACTAAACATTATTTTCAGGGATCGTAACGTTTTTGCAATGATACATATTTGCGTTATGTTATCTGTAGTGTTACATCAGTCGCAGTACCGAATTTCTAGATCACGCAATTAAGATTAAAAATAGGAAAAAGAAAACAACCCATGATAGTGACTATGCTCTACATCACGCGATACAGATGAAGTTTTACCGCGATATTAAAGTGTTTACTATTTATACTATCAGTTGATACGAAGTATCTAAAATAAACATTTAATAAACATTAATGATAGGTAATAAACATTAATTAGATTAGATAGGTATACATGAATTAAATTTCAAGACTTATTTTATCACAAGGTGGCACCATATTTACGATACCAATCGAAATATTATACAAAATTTGTCTTTTTTTGAATCTTTAGAGACTTTTATGTTTCCTAGTAGTGGTATTCCATTCTTAGTGTCATTTAAAGCCTGATCATAGTTAGTGTAAGTAATTAACAATATTAATGAAATAACAATTCTATAAAGCATGGAAAATTGAATGGCAACACTTAAATGGGCGAATGGAGGAACCTTAAGAAACTGGAAACACTTTCATTTATACCAAACCCAAAAAATTTAAATATCAAACTCAGATATAAACCTGCTGCGAGATATTTTGATGACAAACTTCACGGTTCATTAAACTAACCAACGCAATATCGCCAGCGATCAAGTAAAATTTTCCAAATTTTGACCCTCCTTTTCTAAAAAATTCTGTGGAAACATTTAGCTATCATTGTATTTACGGATTTCTAGATCATTTTCATTGAAATTGGCGCTTCTTACTAATGACGTTCATCTTGTTAGATAAAAATAAAACTGGACTCGATACTATTATTGAATACGCGTATTTATTTTTAGATCAGTGAACGGATGTCGGCAGTTGCTCTTGCATAGCAACAATTTTGTGTTTTTTTTACTCGTTATCAAGCTTCTATGGAACATATTAAAATTTATTCAATTTTGCAATAATTATAAAAATGACTCGTTTCTTATCATTGTCATTTTCATTTTATTTTTTTTAATGGAGGAGACATGTAACTCTTTTCTTTCTGATAAAATAAGTATTTTTCGCGTACAGCATGATATACTTCGCAACAAAATTAATATTTTTAATGTTTTTAGCCCTATGTTGCATTAATACTAAACTATTTTCAATATCCTTTTGCTTAAACAGAGATCAATTTTATTTAAAAGATATCTCAAGCCTTATTTATAAATCTGTATACATTGCAATGTACATCAGGTCTGAAGAAATTAGAGTAATCAGATTCTGAACGTGTACTCACTCTTTATTAGGATACACGCCATTGTTCGGGCAACTCATACACTCTAGATTGCCAAGCCTGCTGAAAATTCGGTCGATTAACGTTTAATTGACTTCAATATAATTAATTAACTTACTTAAAACATTCCATTTTCACATAGTTCCACGCAACACGTAAATACCTCAAATGTGACATTCGTCATCGAATGACATTTCTGTTTTGTTTATCGATTTGGTACAGCGATGTTCATCTACACTGAATTTGTGAAAATAAAAAATTTATTCATTTATTTCGTGAAACAGAAAATGCGATTTTAATTAAAATTTTTTTTATGGTTATTATCGAGATATTAAATGTTAAACCATATTAATTAGTAAATTTTGCACACCATGATCTTATTACAGTTACGATCTAAGTAAGCGAAAGTAAAATACGCAACACGTTTACTTTCACCTCTATATCGATAATTGTTCATTAACCACGCAATGAGCTCCTACAGTGAAAGTTAAAACAGGTTTACGAAACACACTTTTTTCATTTCAAGTTCTTTAATATTTCAGTTTTCGTATGTCTTTCTAATTAAATTCCATACGTATGTTAAAGTTGAACTATAAAAATCATTAGTTTTGTTATGTTCTTATATGATGTTATTTATTCCCATTCGCTGCCATAATTTTTTATTCACCTTACGCAAACCGGTCTTAATGAGCTGCTCTTCCTTTACGTATCGTTAGAAAAGAAACGTTAACAGCATTAGATAGTGAATTGGAATTTGCTCCGTACGCCTGTAAATATGCAACAAATGTGTATGTGTACAAATAATGTCTAGCAAATATTGAACAAAGATGTATGATCGCTTTTATAAAAGGTGAATGATTAACTGGCATGTTATATACACGTCATCGAGACCGGAAAATCAATCGATCAGGTCAAAGTTCAAGGCAGGATCGAAGCAAGAAATCATGGTACATAGAATGTGTAAATTGATTGTGTTTATGTTCATTAGATGGACATTCATTTTTCAATGCAACTTGAAAAGCAAATATTTCATTAAAAAAATTCATTTTACATTTTTTATTTATTTTTCTACGAAGAATCAATTTCTTTTCAGTTATAATGTTAAATATTGTTACGTTATTATAGTACTGTTGAAAAATGATTGTTACATGGCTCGTTGGTCTAGGGGTATGATTCTCGCTTCGGGTGCGAGAGGTCCCGGGTTCAAATCCCGGACGAGCCCAAGTTTCATTATTTTTGTTTCTCTTTTATATTTTTAAAATTATTATTTAATTCATTCATTAATATTATTTATTTACTATTTATTAGTATTATTAATTCGTTTGTTATTCACGAGTGAACGCAATATTTTTATTTTATAACGTAAATGTTGAAGTTGAAATTAATGACTAGTTCGTAGAGCTATCGAATATAGGTATCAAACATGGCGCTCGCGTGGAAATCATCAAAGAAACACAGCGATCGTGAAAGGTGTGTTTATTAAAATACGTTTACTCTAACGTTTTTTGTGTACATTTTTATAAAATTAACTTAAGAAGAATGTTTGCGCGATCAGATTGATTGAAGATATGTTTTACGTCATTATCATTTGCCACATAACCTCTCTGACGTGAAACTGACAGATGTGCAATATTCATCTTTACAGGTGGATTTGCATTTATCCAGTTTACATAAACAGTAAAAGAACGTTAGCGGGAGGGCGTAAACTTGCGAAAGATAAATGTGTGGAAAACCCTACACATCAAGAGATCCGTGACGTTTTGGTGGCAGCTGGTTTCAATGTTGGTGTGGAGAATAAGCTTCATCCAAGGGAACGTAGCAAAGAACTGTTATATCGCGGACGTATTCGTGTACAATTAAAGAACGACGATGGTACTCCCGTGAAATCCGAATTCCCTACTAGAGATTCTGTTTTGGTTTACTTAGGCACCACTATTCCCAAATTAAAAACTCGCCAGGGAAAACAATCGATGGGTGAGCAATCCTCCCAGTCTTCAAGTTCCTCATCAAAGAAGGGAAAGGGAAAAGGAAGGAGGTAATAAAATGAAATGAGAATGCAATAGAGTATACAAATATTTTTTCCTTACGTATATATTTTAATATTGAAACGAGAATTATTCTCATGTACAAAAAGTAATTGTATTACACTTTGTATAAAGTAACTAACAGTTTTAAACTGAATATTGTATAATCGTATACAATACTGTATATCCACACTATTATTTAATACAGTTCTTAAATGTTTAACACCAGAATGTGCTACTTGTCCTTTCGAAGCTTCAAATATGTCCTTTTGTAAACACATGACCACTATTTTGTTTTAAAATAATCAAGCAGTGTTTCTGTTTATCTTGGAGGAGCGAATATGAATCTTTAATTTTTTATTGGTACCATATTTAATAGCACTTTATCGTGTTCAAAATGTTGTTCTCAAAGCCTGTCTTTCCTTTTTTTGTAACTTAATTGGAATTATTTTCTTCATTCTGTACTCCGTCTTTCTCATTTTTATTTGCATCTTTTTCTTCATCCTTAGCAGAACCTACTATGTTTTCTTCTGTGTTTGAATTATTATCCATAGAAGTGGGATCTTTTTGCTGTGGTGAATCAACAACTGTTGGCTGTAAATTTAATATATGATATTATTCGTATGGGTTTAAGGTTTTATAATAATTTAATACGTACTGTACTTTTGAAGCTAGTAGGAGGTGCTCCAACCACAGGCGAATAGTGACCAACTAAATGTGTTAAATCAGTTGTAGGAATGGTGCCTGGTTTAGCATTATTCAGTGACTAAGAAAACAAAACAGAAACAGAAATTGTATGTTAAAAATAATGGGGATATAGTAATGCCTTGGATATTGGCCAGTGTTTGAGACTCAAACTAATCAAAGTTGCAGTCGGTCAATTTGCATAGAAAAATTCTGACCAATTTACAAGGGATCACTGTATGCACTATGTTATATTAGAGTACTCACTGTTGGAGATAAAGTTGGTAGCAATATTTGATGAAGTTGTAACTGCGCCCGAAGTAAATTTTGCAGCGGCAAACTTGCGGCTTTAGCTAAAGTATGAGGCATGCTATGTAATTTATCAATATATGAGTGGAGATTAGGATGAAGAACTGAACGTAATATGTTCGACATAGGCATTTGCGGTAAGGCAGGTAGAGTATGCAATGGCGGACGTATAAGAGATCGCAGTCCGCCAGTAATAGGTCTGACTATAGGACTAACTCTTGGCAGTGGCAATAATGGGCGAATATGTGGAATTCCGACTATGGGTTCAGACGAATTTGTATCTGTTAAATTTTCTTCATTTGCAGATGTATCTGTATCATTTTCATTTGTAGGATCACTCATTCCAACTATGTTAGTTTCATCATTGTTTGAATCACAATTTGATGCTCCTACGAAATGAGCATGTCCTTTTTCTAGACCTCCAGTTAGGAAATAATTTGATATTTGATTTGCATCGCCTGAAAATTATCAGAACAATATAGAGGAGTACGTTAATTAATGTAATTTTGTATTAACATCTTTATTTTCTTTACTCAGTCTTAGGTGTCGTCTGGATCCTAATACGCCACGCGAAGTTCGATCATGATTTATTAGGTCATTAGTGTCGGTATTAAAATCGGTATTTTGTAATCCTCTCTCAAAACGTATTTTATATTCAGAATCTGTAAAAGATCGAGATTAATCCTGAAAGTTTATATAGATCGTAGAATACCTTTTAAGGCGAATGAAACGTTTTCTTTTCTTGTAGTGTGAGCATACCATAATGTATGGAATGTGAAATGTAGTTCTTTTACCTTTGTGTTCATTGTGTGTATCAGAATTCCCATTTTTAATTGTAGCAGGTAACTTCACACTATTTAGTTTAGCACAAGAAACTCCACAATTGTACTGTTCGATACAATATAAAATAAAAATTAAAAAGGGTAATCTACTCTGCCTCATGCTTGCATCAAACGATCAATATTTAAGAAATCAAACAAGAGCAATTAAAATCCTTTGAAAGATTAATTCGACACTGGAGTCGTACATATTTTTAGCTGAAATATATGGACTTTGCGACCGAAAATTTGCTGACAATTTATGACCACATTGTTTTTATTTATCATAATATAAAAGCTTGCTTCGATATGCACGACTACATCGAATTGCATCAGAACTCAAATAACTGATGCAAGAAGATATTGTGGTCATGTGTATGCATATGTGCTGAATAAATATAAAATGTATAATTTTTGAAATAACAGTTAGTTTTCTTAAAAATCGTTGTCTTATGATATACGTATTAAAAAAGTATCCAAGCAAATAGTAAACGAACATAAAGTTAATCATAAAATAGTCGCAATTTATATATGTATTAAATAATATATGGTATGTTATAAATTGATAATTATGTAATTTGAAAAAGAATGCAAAAAAATGAACCTTCCCCGTGACAATGTTTTCACATTGCCGTGACCAGGATTCGAACCTGGGTTACTACGGCCACAACGTAGGGTCCTAACCACTAGACGATCACGGCTATTGAAGGTCATACGAAGTAATTTCATTTTTTAGTAAAAATATTTCAATTATTTTATATTATATAAATAAACATTTATGTTTATTTAACATATAATATATCACTTATTCTTTTGTGCATTCTTTAACTGATGTCATTAATTTTTCACTAACCTATTTATACCCTGAAAACAGACATCGATATATTATTTAATGAATAGTTAATGCACAGTAATTTTCTATTTTTTCTTCCTAAAAAGTTTTTTATTGAGTTTTTTTGTTATACATTTAACAATAATTTTGTTTGTAATAATATTAGCTTAAATACAGTTTTATGTACATACGTCGGGTTAATTAATATTATGAATAGATCGAAATATATTGTACTTTTGGAATAAGTAGAATATGAATTTTTGGAAGTAGTGGTTTGCAAAGTAGGTTAATCTGTGTTTGTGTTTCACCATAATTGTGAACCAATACTGATAATATTTAATTTAACATGTTACAATATGGATTCATACGCATAACAAAAAGTGTTACTTATTTCTTGTAACAGTTTGCAACGATGTTAAGCAATAAATGTCTTCCAGTTTCTGCATTCGATGAAGTATGAATCTGATTGTTTGTTTTTTGTGTGTTAACAGGTTGATGGTCATCGAAAATAATTGTTCCAGAGTGATTTAAAACTTTTCAATTTCGCTGAAAAATTTAGGTACCTACTTCCTGTTGATTTTCCTTAAAAATTCGTTTTTGATTTTTAGTAGTTTTGTTTGACGTCCTACAGAAAAGTTGTCTAATACTTCTTTGTAGGTACCTATGAGCTCCATTTCAGAAAAAAAGTTTTATTGAAATATATTCACTATTGTAGGTGTTATGGTCGTTTGAAAATTGCGTTTTTTAATCCGTATAAATCTAATTCAGTGAATAGTTTCTCAACTGACCGCCATCCATCAGAAGATGTCGCTAAAATCACCTCCGAATATTCAGGTCGGTATGGCAGCCAGATTGGGCCACGAAAGTCCATAAGGTGAATACATAGACGAGGTAAACGAGTAGACCTTTCACCACAGACGAGGTATACGAGTAGACCTTTCACCTAATGTATTTTTATGGCCCGTTTTTCTGGGGTCCCGGGATCCATTAGCATTTTCGTGTCACTCGCAACGTTACCAACAGATTCAGAAATGAATTTTAATCCCTTCCATAATCAACTCACATGGATTTATGCAAAATTACAGCTGTTTGCCTATCAATACTAATTCAGTGAATAGTTTCTCAACTGACCGCCATCCATGAGAAGCGGACGCTAAAATCACCTCCGAATTTTTCGCTCAGTATGGCAATTGTTCGAACTGACGTACAAAAAGACAAAAATTAACGAGATACACTCTTCCAAAGTGGAATACAATGTTAAAAAGATCATGCACCAAATTGTAAAGGGATCCTCGTAAGAAGGCTTTAATCTTCGTAATGGTTTTAATGGGTCGATGATCAACAATGACTAGCTTATGGTCACTGGTGGTCAACAGTGAGGTTGACATCAAGGTCAGCGGTCCAGTGAAGATCCAGAAATGGTCAAGAGGTGGGACCAATCGAAATAGTTTCTTTCTAGACAAGACAGTCTTACCTGTTAACTTTAACTTTGGCTCTGATTGGTCTCCCCACCCGTTCATCACCTTAGACAGATAAGCAGGGTCACTGCGAAGAATTCTTCAGTCGCGTCGCGAATTCGGGAGTGTACAAATGGCCAGAAGAGAACCGGGGACCGCTGCTGACCTCTGCTGGCCGCTGCTGACCACTACTGGCCAGCGCTGACCACGGCTGACCATGGCTGACCAGTACTGACCACTACTGACCACTACTGACCAGTTCTGACTAGTGCTCCTACCACTACTGACCAGTGCCGGACGGTGATGACCAACGGTAAGAACTGTTTAAAAATTCTCTCCCCTCTTCTATTCTATCGTTTGATGCTAATTTTGTTTCAATGAACTGATTTTGCCTTGCTTGTCTAACTGATGGTGCTATAATATGAATATTTTCTTACTTTACAGCTGTCCCAGTGGTAACTACCCTATGTACTGACAACAAGTAGTAAGTCCACTCCACTTATTTATATTTTATTATTTTTATTTGTTTGTTTGATGTGAATTCAACTTCATTTATCTATCTGATTTTATTTGGTTACTATGAATGTTCCTTTTCTGTGTTTCCACTTTTATATTGTTCTTCGAATTTATGTGATTGCTTCGATATGTATAATATTGCAGGATATATTAATGTAACATTGTTTTCAATCGTATACTATATTTGATTCTATACAATATCATGAATTTTTATTTTTAAGCTAGGTGATAGGTCATTTTTAAGTGTTTAAGAACCTCCTTTTTAACCCCTTAGCTTAATGATGTTACAGAAACATGATGAGTCTACTGGGCCAAACATGAACAAGACGTCTCGGAGAAGTGATAAGTCTACCGGGCCAAACCTTGATGACGCTTTTGGCACGCACAGTTGGAAATTAAATCGTAAGGCAAAGGGGTAAA